CCTTGCATTTGCACACTTAGAGGCCCAGGCAGGGTCATTAACCAGCATAATTTCAGTAGTCTTGTGTCTCAGGAAATAGGGAGGCCCGAGGACAGGAAGAAAGATGGGGACGTCTGCCCAGTGGGGCAGTCAGAACACAAACGACATTTATTAGCTTCACCATCTTATTTGGGCATGGTTGTGGCGCCACAGACAATTACAATAGTAACATCAAAGATCACAGATCACTGTAACAGATCTAATAGTGAAAAAGTTTAAAATATGGCAAGAATTACCAGAATATGACACAGAGTCGTGAAATGAGCACATGCAGTTGAAAAGATGTGCCAACAGACTTGCTGTATGCAGGGTGGCCACAAACCTTCAATTTGTAAAAAACACAATATCTGTGAAGTGCAATAAAATGAGGAATACTGGGGTGTGTGCGTGTATGTGTGTGTGTGTGTGTGTGTGCGCGCGCGCGTGCGCACGCACCCTGTTGGTTCCGTTCTCTAGACAACGCTGACTGGTACTTGCAAGGGCCCTGCATCTTCTCTGCAGCCTGTCAGTCATGCTTCAGGGAGCTTATATTGTGGAGGTGGCAAAGAGATTCTTCCGGAAGCCTGGGGAAGAGGTGCCAGGCCATGAAGAGGAGTAGGAAGCTCCCTGGGAAAGACGGCAGGAGTAAGATCCTCCAAGATACAACCCAGAAAAAAGTCATATGGAGGGAGGTGCTTAAGGCAAAGTGGCCACACAAAGCCACCTGTGTACCCTGGGCACAAAGCTTGCTGGGGGGCTGAGCAAATAGATCTCACGTGTGAAAGCTCAGGATGTCTATGTAATCTCATAACAAAGCTCAACAGCTTCCTTTACTGGAGGAATAAGCTGAGAGGTATTTTAACTATTAAAGGAAATTGGCACAAGGATAGAAAAAGAGATGAATGATGCAGAACAGAGAGTCCGGGAAAAGACCCACGCATATATCATCCCTGATAAATGGCAGATGCACCACAATAATTTAGTGGGTAAAGAGTGATCTTTCAATAAAGAGTGCTGGGTCAATCTGACATCCATCCGCACAGGTAAGAAGCACCTGACCACTACCTCTCACCATACACAAAACCATAACCAGCTGGATTGCGTACCTAAAGGTGAAAGTACAACAACAAAACTTGTGGAAGAAAAGCTTTCTGATCTTGGACTGGGTAATTATTTTTGAAACAGGACATAGAACACATACCAAAAAAGATGTTGATAAACAGACCTTTAAAAGATACTGTCGACCGGAGCAGCCCGGAGACCAGCGGCTAGGGTAGGTGGATCTGCTGTTTCCCCTCCCCTGCATTCGGGACTGCTGGTGGGCTCCCCAGCGGGTGGAGAGACCTGCGGACACCAGCCCAGAGACTGCCGCCGCCTGCCAATGGTGAGCCTGTAGCAGACGTGGCACCAGGTTCCCAACTTCCTCCGGGCACCTCCGTGTGCAC